GATTAATTTAATTGCCACACTCTCTTTAATTCACAATCAGAGCTATTATTTATGGTTTTAATGAAAGCTCTCTACATGTCAGCTTCTTCTGTAGTCATGGAACCCAATGCCTGAGGAAAGCACAAATATTTCATCACAATATTTACTTTTTTTTTTTTTTATTTTTTACAGGTTTTTTTGAGGGGGGGCATGGCTGGTTTTGAACCTGCCATCTCTGGCATTTGGGGCCAGTGTCCTACTCCTTTGAGCCACAGGTGCCATCCATCACAATATTTACTATTGGATATTTAGGTCCCCAGGGTGACTTGTCCTTTCTATCAACTTAACAAGAAACTTCATCTTTTCTATGAGTATTTGGTGCATTGCTTTTGTGCTGTTAATTACAATGCTAAAATTTCTAGTAAGTAATTTTTTTCTGATTATTATCATTTTTCATTTCAATGATCCAAGTCATGAATTTTTGCCAGTCTTCTATTTCACTTATAATTCATACTCAGTTCTATCAATAAATTCTATTTCTTTTACTTCCTAAATAATTATTTATCTTTTTTCCTTTCAATTTCCATTGGCTAAATAAGGTTCTCATCTTAGATTAACTCAACAGTGCCCGTCTATTACTCCTGCTACTTTTCCTCCTCTGACTAAAGCCCACTTTCCACACTGTTTTCAGAATGGTAATTATGGAATAAAATCAATTGTTGTTATTTCAATAACTGCATAACCAATAGGATAAATTTTAAAATCTATTGGCTCGTATATAAGGTACTTCCTATTCTGTCTTGTATTTACATTTCTGACCTTTAGTCTATCATGCACTTACCTTTTTTGTCCTTTTGAAGTTGAACAAAAAGCAGATCTCCAAAACATGGCCTTTTGTTTTTCTGCTCTGTGACACAGCATGGACTGTTCCTGGTCTAAGGAATTTCACATAGTTTACCATTACCTCCTTAGGACAGTCTTTCTGATCACCAGAAAATCTCCTCAGTATAACCCATTCGGACTTAAGATTCATCTCCTGTACATGCATTTGTTATAGTAGGTGACAAACTATATTGCAATTTTATGCTTACTTATTTGTTGCATATAATGTATTAATGTCTTCATGAGAAGATGCTTTGTGTTGTAACATCTTTGTAGTCTCTGAGTCTGACATATGGATGAATGAGTAAGTCAGTGAAGTGATGAACAGCTCAACACCTCTGGCCACTCTCTAGTTGTATGGTATCTTCTGTCAGTATCACAATTATGATATTTCTGAGGTCTCATAGTTAATATTACAATACTACATAGGTTTTGCAGAGATTATTTTTAATTTTAGATACTCATAATTTGTGACCTGGAATTTTGTTACATTCTATTTCTATCCTTCAGTGTGTCAACTCCAAACCAAAAGACTACATTTGAATTTCCTTACTTCATTGATGAAAATTATAAAAGTCCTTGATTAAGCCTTGCTAACACAAATATGCTTAATCTTGGTCCTTTAAAATGTTGGCCCTCTAATATACAGAGGACTTTTATTTCTCTAGGCAGCTATTCTTGCTAACGTCCCCAAGGGAAGTCAAAATTATAAATCATGCTCAAATGCTAGAGAGGGTAAGGCCTTTCCCCCAATTTTTCACTAAACATGAACAAAAATTTTCTAAAAAGTGCTAAAACCACTTTATCACCAAAACTACTTTAAAGAAAAAGTGTTTTGTATAGACTGACTGGAAATGAACACATTTGCTATGCAACAGCATGATAAAATGACAATTTCTCAAATTCTAGTAAAACTAATACCAAAA